TTTTTTTTTTTTTTTTTTTTTTTTTTTTTTTTTTTTTTTTTTTTTTTTTTTTTTTTTTTTTTTTTTTTTTTTTTTTTTTTTTTTTTTTTTTTTTTTTTTTTTTTTTTTTTTTTTTTTTTTTTTTTTTTTTTTTTTTTTTTTTTTTTTTGTGTGTTTGTTATTTTTTTAAAAGCAGTGAAATTCCTTACCCTGGTGGTTGCCTTGATTTGCATCTACTTTTGCAGCAGTAGAAGACAATCAGTGCAATTATAACCAACAGTACTCCAGCAGCAACGAGACTGATGAGAAGTCCTGTGACATTGATCTTTTGTAGTGTCTCATCTCCTGAGGAGAAAACATTGTTTATTTTCATTACGTATTCTTTCCATCTACCCAGTTTACACTGCGAAATGCTGTTTGAGATGTCCATCTTCTAATGCTTTCCAACTATTACTTCATGTGCTTTTGACCTTGATCAGGCTGTAGATACCAGTTTTTCATTAAACATCTGGCATCAGGCTACTCTGAGCCTAATTCAGACTGTTATATTACTGTTAAAGAAATGAGAGGGAGAGCAAACAAAATAAAACCACAGAAAGCAGTCCCAGAATTATCACAAAGTTTACCAATTGTGCAATAAAGAAATGGCTGTGAAAATTATACTGTTTTTACCTACAGAGTTATAATGGATCTCATTCTAAGATGCTTCAGTGAGTATGTTTTATGGCATCAGATAATGACATATACTTGTATGATTCACAGTGATCTTCAGTAAAAAAATCAATTTTCTGATGTTGCTAACTGAATGCACAGTGTATTGAGTGTACTGTTATAACAAACAGAAAGTGCAGCAATATAAGAAAAAAATAAGAAGGTAACTTACCTATTTTTATTTTAGGGCCTTTAGTTGAATAGTCTTTCCAAAAATCCATCTGTAAAAAAAACCCCAAAATAATCATATTTATAGCTGACAGGCCTATTGACTTTATTGTCTTTAATACGGTACGTTGGGCAAAATTTAACAATGGCATAAACAGACGCAGCTCCTGCTGAAGGATTTGTACTTGCCCGTCCCACGACATTTTTCTTATACTTTCAAGTTTGCACTGAAATTTCACAAAGCAAAAAAATTGTCACTTGGTGAAAGAGAAAAGTGCATTAAACTGTCCAGTGTTACATCATATTTCTGCCTGATGACAGTAGAAGTGACCATATATTCTGACACTAAAAAAATGCTTACAGTTAGTCTTTGTAAATCCCTACAAAAGAGTATTTATGAGGCAAAGTTCTTAAGAATCCTACATTTGCATGAATGGTATTTGAATTCACACGAGCTGAGCAAAATAATGAGATTTATTCAAGAGAAAAACTTTCATGTTGCATGACCATCAGGCATTAAATGTGTTCAGCCATAATTTCCACCCTTGCTACCCAGCAAGACTCCCTCATGATTCCCTTATTGGGCTGAAGGGTTTCTTATATTTTATCTCATTTTTTATAGCAGGTTTCTACCTATATAGGTAGAGATTCAGAAGGTAATGCTTTAGGAACACTCAGCAATAGCTGAACTCTGGTCTCTTCCAAAACACGAGGATGGGATCTGCCAATTAATAATAATAATGCTGAGAAGTTACTTAATAAATAAATAAATAAATAAATAAAAGAGTCGGTAAATATATTGGAATATCTACAAGTGGGACTTCTGAAGCTTCATTTCTGTTTGTTTGCAGGCATAATATAATCTATAAATAATGATATTAAATTCAGTATATTAAATTCAGTTTGAATCGCTACCGTTTTGTCGTGGTCTTCAAAAATTTCTCTTGCTTCTTCATAGTTGCACAGCTCTTCATAGCATTCTCTTTCCAGGTTATCTGCTGTGAATACTTCGAAATCAAATCTGTTGTTCAGAAGGTGTCGTCCGATGAATAAATTGGCCTCCTTTTCAGAGGTGAACACTAATTAAAATAAAATCGATTTAAAACAAGTTAGAGAGCCTGAACTTGATGTTTTTAAAGAATGGTCAAGATCCCAAAGGAGCACATTGAGATCACTCCTTCCCCAAGCATCTCTCAGCTACGTACAAGAAAAAGAAACATCAAGGTTTCCTCCTACATATCTGCTTTGCTGCTATATTTTCTAAGTATGTAATTAAAAAAACCCACATTTTCCTTTCAGCTATTCCTTGTACTGGCCAAGAGAATTTGATTATCATGAGAGCTGTTGGTCAAGCTTTGGTGTTGTCCCTTCTGGAACGTGGGCGACGGTTTTTACTGGACAGTCACATAAAGCAGAAATTCAGTCAGGTACGAACCAAGCAGGACACTGATCCCCTGGAGGAAGCAGGCAAGGGGGAGGAGAGGGGGTGAAGGGAAGGGAAAAACCAAAACAACTCTTCCTTGTGAATAACCCTCAGTATAGATTTGTCAATATTTGGGCGTCTGTGAGTAGCAAATTTTGTTTACAGAATCAAGTTTGTAAAAATGGCAGCAGACTCCCCTTCATTTTACATTTGTTCTCGTTTCACCATCGTGGCATCAAGTTTTAATGTAACAGTTTGCTGTATTGCCAGGTTCATTTGTTTTCAATTCATCCACAATATGAATTTTACTGACTACAGGAATTTCTGAGGACATTTAATTCTTCTTTTGTTCACATTACAGTCTTCGCGAGGCCTCATGGAGTAAGTTGTGAGGTGAGATTCCAGAACAGTGAGCGAAATTGTAGAAGGCTTTGGAATACAGGAATGTATTTCCTCACCAGGCATTTTCCATAGTCAAGTTTTAGCCTGCTCTTGCTACAGTTTCTTAAGAAAAAAAAAAAAAATCTTTTTATGGCAAAACTAATTTTCTGGAGTGGTTTTCAGTGAAAGCCTAATCTGTATCCAAGAAATTCAGACTATCTGGTTGAGCAAAATGACTAGAGGATTACTTTTGCAAGTGTAATGCAGAAAACAGCATTGTTACATGCCAAGCCAGACAGCTAAAAAAGGAGATGAGGTTCAGTATAAAGTTATTCAGTTACAAATTAGCTTTGTGTTCTTGTTAGCCTGTTTGGCTGGATTATCACATCGTTTAGGAATTTTTACCCTAATTGTTACTGGTAGATCTTGCAGTGGTATCTCAGCATAGTTTGCTCCCTGAAAACTGAGAAAACTGCAGTGTAGCTTACATATGGGTTGTTTGTGTAGTTAATATTATAGTATATTTAAGGGATATTACAGCACATATTTATATAATCTACATACTCTTATGGTATGTATTAAAGGAGCCACATGTGTGCACAAGCATTTGTGTAGGAAAGGAGATCTGTTATTCTAAAGTAATTGCAAGAAAATCTGAGCTTAAAATATTTATACTATACCTAAAAAGAAGGACTTGGTGTATCCAAAACAAAACCAGAACAACCCCAGACCCACAAGTGGAAAGG